TGTCAGTCGGTGGGTCAGTGAGCCTAGCTTTGCTGCCAAGTGCCTGGAGGCACCCCACTCTGCCAGGAAGCGTCCTGCCTGAAGGCACTTATCTCTCTCGCTCTGTGGGTTGGCACACCCACTGTAACTGCTCTATTGGCCAGGAAGCCCACTGCACCATCCCCTGCTGGTCTCCTGGTTCTGCTGCCTCTGCTGCCGCCTTTTCACACCATCTCTGGTGTTACTGATCTGTCTATGTCTCCTGTGTCTAGGAAGTTCTCAGCACAGGGATTCCGATTCCAAAGGATGCATTCCACTCCTAGCTCTTTTTCTTGGTGTTAGTGTGGTCCCCTTTTTTTCTGGGAATGGCTCTGTTTTAAGCCTAGCAGGATGGCAAAACTGACTAATCCCCTCATTAGGGTTGCATACACCTCATTTTCATGGTCCCACCCCCACAATGGTGCCATGCATCTTATTTACATTATTAGCAAGCTATATAATCCCCTTGGTGGGCCACAAGCACCTTATTTGTATAGTCCCACCCACTCATTTGGTGGGAGTTACAAAACCATGGCAAGAAAGGCCATATGTCTTAGTTATCTAGTGCTGCTATGACAGAAATACCACAAGTGGATGGCTTTAACGAACAGAAATTTATTCTCTCATGGTTTGAAAACAAAAAAAAACAAATCTGTTTCTGTCAAGTCGATTCTGACGTATAGTTTAGGAGGCTAGAAATCCAAATTCAGAGCACCAGCTTTAGGGGGAAGGCTTTGTCTGTGGGCTCTGAGGGAATTTCCTGTCCTTGTCATCAATCTTCCCCTGGTCTAGGAGCTTCTCAGCACAGGGATTCCGGGTCCAAAGGACACACTCCACTCCCAGCTCTTCTTTCTTGGTGATAGGAGTTCCCTCTCCTCTCTGCTCCAGTCTGTCTTCTATATCTCAAAAGAGATTGACTCAAGATACAACCTAATCCTGTATATTGAGTCCTGCCTCATTAACATAACTGCCTGTAATCCTGCCTCATTAACATCATAAAAACCCATTGCCTTCGAGTCAATTCCGACTCATATTGACCCTATAGGACAGAGTATAACTGCCCCGTGGGGTTTCCAAAGAGTGGCTGGTGGATTTGAACTGCTGACCTTTTGGTTAGCAGCCAAGCTCTTAACCACTGCGTGACCAGGGCTCCCATTAACATCATAGAGGTTAGGATTTACAACACATAGGCTAATCACCTCAGATCACAAAATGGTGGACAACCACACACTACTGGGAATCATAGCCTAGCCAAGTTGACACACATTTTGAGGGGGCACAATTCAATCCATAGCACCATATAAAAGTGATCCATCGCACTGCACTCCCTTTGCTCTAAATCCTTGTAACCCCTTGGTATTGTCAGATCTTTTGTTGTTTTTCTGACTGATGGGACTATATAGTATCTCATTATAGTTTTAATTGTAATTTCCTTGATTATCAATAGGATTGAGCCCCTTTTACTAAGTCTACTGGACATTACATTTTTTTTTTTATGATGACATGCCCAATATTTTGGCCCAGTTTTTATTGGGCTCTCTGCCCATTTTTAAAAAATTGATTTGTGAGTTCTTTATATTTTCTGCATGTGAGCCCTGGTTGGTAATACATGTTGCAAATACTTCCATTCTTTGCCATATTTTTTCACACTTTTAAAAAGATAGTTGTTTATTTTTAATAATTTTATTTTTAATTGTTGCTACTATATAGAAATACAGTAACTTTTAAATACTGATTTTTGCATCCAGCTATGTTGTACTACTTTCTAGTTAATTTTAATAATATATCTGAGGAGTCTTTTTTCCTTTGTACATAATTGTAACAAAAGCAAATTAGGACAGTTGTATTTCATCCTTTTCAATCCTTATACCTTTTTCTTTTTTTTTTTGCTTTTTCCTGGCCAGGATAATCAGTATAATGCTAAATGGAAATAATAGTAGTGGACATCTTTTTTGTTGTTGTTGTTCCTGATTTCAATGGGGGAAAACTTTCAGTGTTTCATTGTTAAGTATAATATTTGATGTAAGCTTTTGTGTAGATACCCTTTGTTGGGTAAGGAAGTTCTTTTCTAGTCCTACTTTATTAAGGTTTTGTTGTTTTAGTTATCAATGTAAGTTGAATTTTCTCAAATGCTTTTCTGCATCTTGTTTTTTCATGTAATTAATTGTTGCAGTGAATTATATTTATTGAGTGTGGAATTTTAAATAAACTTTGTATGCTGTCATTGAGTCCTCATAAATTAGATTCAGGGCACAGCTGAGAGAGTCAACTGAGCAGATGTTGGAGTCACTGGCCATTTCCCAAGAGCGGAAGAAAATGAATAAGTCTCAGGTAAGCTGTTTTTTTCCCTACTTGATCTTCCAATGGATTTGAGGAAGCTTTTAACAATGAACACAGTTAAAAGTAACACTATAAGCACATGAAAGTCAGGTGAGTAAAAGGTCTAGAAGAGAAGGTAGAAGATTAAGGACATAGCCTGTTTGGAGAATGGACATACATATAGATCATGGATTATGCAAAATGTTAATGTTGTAACATCACTGTATAAGCCATTGGGTCCAAAATTGAGTTGCCAATTGTCCTCTGATGCTGCTGGCAGCCATAACCAAAAGAGAAATAGAAATATTTCCATGAAGTGAATTTTCCATAAAGAGGAAAAACAATTCTTTGAGGTCAATAAATGTTTTTTGATACTTAGGTATCAAGAAGTATTTTTATGGGTCTTCACTGAAAATCCAAAGAATTGTCCAAACTCTGTATCTCCAGGCCCCCTTATCATTCTCTCTTGAACCCACTCCAGTGACTCTTAACCCACCCTTCCTCCAAAAATGTTTTTTTTTAGGGTCACTGATGAATCCATTTTGTTAAATCCTGTGGTCAATTTTTATTGACCTTGCAGCAGCGTCTGATATAGTTGATAGTTCCTTCTTCCTTAAATGCTGTCTTCATTTGGTGTTCAGAATGCCACACTCTCTTGGTTTTCTTTCCTACCTCAGTGTCTACTTCTAAGGTTCAATTTCTTTGTGTAAATTTTATTTTGTCGCTCATTCTTTAATCTTAATTCTTGGAGTGTCTCAGGGCTCATTCTTGCATCACCGATCTTTTCTATGTGCACGCAATGCCTTGGTGCTGTCATCTGGTGTCACAGGTTTAAACAACATCCATATGCTGATGACTTCCTCTTTATATCTACATCCTGGACCTGAGGCTCACCTTCTAATCTCACTGACTTCTTGACATCACTCAGGTACATCTCTACATATGTGTCCAAGTTACTTTCTTAAACCAACCTCCTGATCTCATCTCAAGCCTGTTCCACAGTTTTCTTCCATGATTTCCCCATTTCATTTAGTAGATTTTCCTTGTAGTTGCTCAGACCAGGGGTCAGCAAACTTTTTCTGGAAAGGGGCAGCTAGTAAATATTTTAGGCCTTGTGGGCCAGTCTCTGTCACAACTACTCAACTCTACTGTTGTAGCACAAAGCCAACCATAGACAATTCCTAAACAAATGGGCATGGCTGTTTTTCAATAATATTTTATTTACAAAAACAAAAAATGAAGATGAACTAGTTAGTCTTAATAATTTGACAAGCATTTCAGATTCACCCTAAAAGGTAGGACCCTGACAAGAGGCCATAGCAAATCATACAGTCATCTCCCATCCTTTCCTCTGACTTCTTCCTACTTGAGGTAACCATCATACTGAATCCTATGTTCATCGTATCCTTGCCTTCTTGTGATGTAGTTTATCGTTGTTGTTAGTTGATGTCGAGTTAATTTTGACTCATGGTGACCCTAGGTGTGCAGAGTAGAACTGCAACATAGGGGTTTCAAGGCTTTGCCCTATGGGAAACAGATTGCCAGGCCTTTCTTCTGAGGTGCCTCTGGGTAGGTTTGAACCACCAACCTTTAGTAGTTAGTTAGTAGTTAGTAGTAGTAGGCTAGTAGTTGAGCACTTAACCATTTGCGCCACCTGGGGAATCATTGATGTAGTTTATACATATTCCTAAAAAAGCTTTTCTAAAAAATTTTAGTTGCTTTTAATTCATGAAAAGGCTGTCATTTTTACAAATCTTTCTAGACTTACTTTTCACATGATATGTGAAAAAATATTACTATTTGTCCATATGTAGACTAGTATGTTTATTATGTGAATACCCCACAGTTTATTTATTTCCACTAACAGGATTTCACCTGTTTGCTACTATGATTTCTTGAATCTTTACTGGTACTATTCGTTTCTGGAATGCTCTTACCTTCTGTGTGATCCCTCTTCCCCTGCTGCTTCCATATTAATAGTATCCTCAGTTACACAAATGGTACAGAGAGTTCCTATATACCTTTTACCCAGCTTCCCCTAATATAATATCTCAAAACCATAATACAGTTATCAAAAACAAGGTAATTAATATTGGGACATGTAAAAATGGCATGGAGGCTGTGTCTGATGACCTCTCTATTCACAAGGGGAAAGGAGAATCAAAATCAACAGCCCAAGGCTGATTCCTGTGATGCAGAGGTCAGACATGCCTCCTCTCTCCACCATCTTTGCCATCTTTACCAATTCTGATACAAATCGTCTCTCCCACAGCACTCTCTACCTCTCTACTGGATTCGATAATTCATTGCAATGTCCACACAAAACTCACAGACAATACTTACGATTATAGGGTTTATTAGGGAAGTAACAGGTTACAATTCAGGTTCAGGAACACTCAGGATACAGTTCTTCCATCAGGACAGCCTCTTCCCAGCCATGCTCACAGGCATGCCTCTCTCTAGCCCTGGGCCTCTGTCCAAAGGCACTCAGCTTTCTTTCTCTGTGGGCTGGAAAGCCCACCACACTGTCTCCTGCTGCCAGGTCTCACTGTCTTCAGGGTTACAGCTCTCTCTCTCTCTGTCTCCTGGTTTCAGGAGCTTCTCAGAACAGAGATTCCAGGGCCAAAAGACATGCTCGCTCCTGGCTGTTCTTTCTTGGTGGTAGTGGGATCTTCTCTGTCTCGCCTCTGGAGTGGCTCTTTTCAAGCCCAGCAGGATGGAAAAACTGACCAATGCCTTTGGCGGGCCACAATTATCCTATCTTCACAGTCCTGCCCAATCACCTGGGTGGGAGTTATAAGACCATGGCGAGAAAGGCCACACAAAAACAGTCCATAACATTGCAGGACATTAAAGTTAACTTTTTTTTTTCCTCTTCCAACATCCAGTCATTTATTTCTCCACAGCCCTCTGAATGATCTAGATATCTCTGTTTCTCAGACTTTTCCACCAATCTCTACACTTTCCATCACAAGTAACATCTCAGTGTAAGTGGTTCTGTTTGTAAAGTAGACCTCAAATCTGTCCACTTCTCTCCATTTCCATAGCACCACTCTAGTCAAAACTGTGAGTGACAGATTTCTTTCTCCTAATTCTTATGCTTTATTTCTTTTTCTTACCTAGTTGCAATGGCTAGGATCTTCAGTAACATGTTGAACAGAAGTGGGGATAGCAAGCATCCATGTCTCATTCTGATCTCAGGGTAAAATTTTTCAATAATTCACTATTAAGTATAATGTTTGTCTTAAGTTTTATATGTATATTCTTTTTCAGATTAAGGATGGTCACTTATACTCCTAATTTGTTGTGAGTTTTTGTTATTAAAGGGTGTTAGATTTTATCATGTGCTTTTTTAAAAGTTTTTTCCTGATTTTTATTATAAAAATTTTCACATGTACAGAAAAGTTAAAAGAATTTTACAGTGAACACTCATGTACTCACTGACAGTATTATACAATTAATATGTTAATATAATTGCTTTATCACATATCTCGCCATCTAGTCATCCCTTTTTTCATCTTATTTTTGATGCATTTCAAAGTAACTTGCAAATATAAGCTAAAAAAAAAACAAACCCAGTGCTGTCAAGTCAATTATGACTCATAGCAACTGTATAGGACAGAGTAGAACTTTCTCATAGGGTTTCCAAGGCTGTTGTCTTTATGGGAGCAGGCTGCTACATCTTTCTTCCATGGAGCGGCTGGTGAGTTTGAACCACTGATCTTTCAGTTAGCAGCCAAGCGCTTTAACCACTGCACCACCAGGGCTCTCTGCAAACATCAGTACATTCCTCCTAAATACTTCAGCATGTGTGTATCATTAACTAAAGTTTATTATTTGTTTATAGTTCTTTTTTATTTACTTTAATGTAAAATTTATATACAATTAAATGCACAAATCTTAACATACCATGCAGTGGTACTGACAGATGTATAACCTGTGTTACCTGCTTTTCATACATCCACTTTCATGATCATGTAATTTTTATCTTTTATTCTGTTAATGTGGTAAATTACATTGGTTGATTTTTAAATGGCAGGATATTTTAATAAGCTTTAAGTTTCTTCCATAAACTAGATTCACCAAAGATTGCATAGAAATGTATTGTTGTGAAAATAATGATAAGTTCCTGTGCATGTTTTCCACATCATTGAATGAAAATCACTTTAAATTGAACAAGAATATGCCATTTCAGGTAACATTATTATTTAAGGATGTGGCTGTGGACTTTACCTGGAAGGAGTGATAGCTACCGGACACTGCTCAGAAGGACCTGTGTTGGGATGTGATTCTGGAAAATTATAGCAACCTGGTGTCAGTGGGTAAGGACACCTTTCCTGTAGAACCCTTGGTGAACCACCAGTCTAATGCCTTTTCTTTATTAATGGCTATTATTTGTAGGTCCTCTGAAATGTTTAATGATTTTGAATTTGGGATTTATAGATGATAAACTCTCTCTGAACTCAAAGGATCATGCTCTCACCTCCCAGATGAAAGTTCTTCACTTTGCTGAGGTGCAAAGTCTGAAACAGACCTTTCCTAGTTCTTCAGAGGAGGCTCTGAAGACCAAGCTCTTAGGCCCAGGTTTACCCATATACATGTTATCAGGCTTTCAGACTAGAAGCAGTCTTTCAGATGGAACAAGAAGAGTCATGGATTATAGAGGGAGAAATCTGCAGTAAGGGCAGTCTAGGTGGAGTGAGTAAAAACCAGACAGATGGTTGAGAGCAGAAAGGTTCAGAACCCTTGATGTGTTATTTTAACTCCACTTAAAAATCCTTGGACCTTTAAAGATGACACTGAACAGTTGACATGAGCTTCTTAGGTATGTCTTTAAGAATACTTCCACTCATCACCTTTTTCATATTAGGACTCTCCTTTGCTTGATATTTAGAAGGGGGCATGCCCCGTAAGTCTATACATTCTGCATCAGACCTCTGGAATCTGAAGTAGGACCTTGCTTTCTTGGTTAGTCTCTCTGGCATCTTTACTCTTCCTCTACCAACACTGCTCGTGTTGCCTTCCTCCCACTCAACATCTTACCTATGGTCAGAATTATGCTTTCAAATAGTCATGATTTAACCCCCTTGCCCATATTTTTATGACTTTTATGCCCCTCTGCATCCTTTCTATTTTCTCTTCTCCTTCTGCTAAATGCCTCTAGCTTGTATTCTATACCCAGAATATAATTTCTTTCCTTTATCCTTTTTGTGAGAGTGCACCCCTTCAAGTACCTAATCATGTAAAGATTTATTGGTCTCCTTCCTAGAATCCTGACAAGTTGATGGTGATATAGACTGACACCAGGAAAACTCTGACAAGCATGATCCTGTGGAAAGGCACCAGGAATGCAATGTATTTGGAAAAATATATCACCTGAGGAAAGACTTTGATAAATCTGATTCATATAGAAAAACTTTTAAAAATAATTTAGATTTACTATTCCAGAATATAAGTGATATAAATAAGAAAGCTGAAGAGTTAAATGTACTTGAGAAATTATTTCTTCATACTGTGCGTGAAAACATTCATTCTAGAATTAATTGCTATGAATATGATAATTGTGGAAAAGCTGTCAGTAAGAAGCCATACCTCAATGTAAATTATAAAGAAATGAAATTTCACAAATGCACTGAATGTCAGAGATACTTTACCCATGTGTCACAACTCCTACATCAGAAAATTCACACAAGAGAGAAGCCTTATAGATACACTGAATGTAGGAAAGCTTTTGCGTGGAAGAATCACCTCATTTTACACCAGAAAACTCACACAGGAGAGAAACCTTATGAATACAATGAATGCAGAAAACTTTTCTCACAGAAATCACAGCTCATTGTATATCAGAGAACCCATACAGGAGAGAAAACATATGAATGCAGTGAATGTCCCAAAGCTTTTATTCGGAAGGCAGAGCTTATTTTACACCAGAGAACTCACACAGGAGAGAAAACCTATGAGTGCAGGGAATGTCAGAAAGCCTTTAGTAGTAAGTTTCAACTCACTGTACACCAGAGGTGTCGTACAGGAGAGAAACCCTATGAATGCAGTGAATGTGGGAGAGCTTTCCCCACAAATCCAGTCTAATTTTACATCAGAGAACTCACACCAGTGAGAAACCACATTAATGCAATGAGTGTCAGAAAACCTTCATCTGTAAGGTTTTCGTTAATCATAAGAGAACTCATACCCTATGGGTATAGTGAATGTGGAAAAACTTTCTCTCTTAAGTTTAGTCTCACTTTACATCAGAAAATACATACAGGAGAAAAACCCAATGAATGCAGTCAGTGTCAGAAAGCTTTTATCTGAAGTCACAGCTCATTGAACATCAGAGAACTCGCACTGCAGAAAAATCCTTTTCATGTAAAGAAAGTCAAAAAGCTTTCATCCAGAAGTGAGAACTCATTTTACTTTCAGAGAATTCATACTGAAGAGAAACCTTAGGAATCCAGTCAATGTCGAAAGCCTTCAGCACTAAGTCACCACTCATTATACACCAGAGAATGCATACAGGAGAGAAACCCTACAGATGCAGCAATTGTGGGAAAGTTTTCACACAGAAGTCACAGCTGATTGTACATCAGAGAACTCACACAGGAGAGAAACCATATGAATGTAGTGATTGTCAAAAAGCTTTCAGCTGTAAGTCACCACTCATCAGACACCAGAGAACCCCACACAGGAGAAATACTCTATGTATGTAGTGAGTGTGGGAAAGATTTCACTTGGAAGCCTGGCCTCAGTAGACATCAAAGAACTCATACAGGAGGGAAGCCTTATGAAGGCAGTGAATGTGGAGAATCCTTTAGTGTCAAGTCACACCTCTATAGACATCAAAGAACTCATATAGGAGAGGAATCATATGAATATAGGAAAAATGGGAAAGCATTTCGGGAGGTAATTTCACCATGAGATCACAGGTGGTTAAGAGAGAATTCCTATATATCCAGTGAATGAATAAAAATTTTCACCCAGATGTTCACTTTTATTAGAGAATTAAAATGAGGGAGAAATCTGTAATGCAGCTAATGAATATGGTAAGACCATCAATAAGGTGCAGCTCATTGTTCATCGGGAAAATGCATACATGAGAGAAAACCTGTGAGTACAGCAAATGTGTGAAAGTTTTTACACAGAAGTCAAAGCTTATTCATTGTATAACAGAAAGACAACCACTATGAATGTTGTAATTTTGTGAAAACTTTCAGAAGTGTATATTATTTTATGTCAGAGAAACTCATATGGGAAAGAAACTATACACATGAAGTGAATGTTGGAATATTTTTATTCAGAAATCAAATCTACATGCATCAGAGAATTTACACCAGAATGAAATCATATAACAGTAATTAATGGAGAAAAACAACTTTATTAAAAGTTACCTGCCACAAGATATTAGAAAACTTACACTGAGGGAAAACTCTTTGATTGCCACAAAAATGCTTGAAAATATTTTCTAATTATGAAAAATATGTATGTTCAACAGATAATGTGTATAAGAATGCAAATGTATGAATGTATTGAATGTGGGGATGGCTGCACCTAGTTGTTTATGGGAGAATTAATATTTAGGAAAAATTAAGTCAGGTCAATAAATTGGGGAGAGCATTTTTTCTAGAAATAATTTTATAAAATAAGTTCTTGCTGTGAATACCATGTTGATAAAGAAAATATTACCACATACTTTCAAAATGAAGAGGAGACAGTTCCACTTTGGAGTATGAAACTTCTAAAGTGTGTGACTAAATGAAATAATCCGAACAAGAGATGAAGAAGTTATCCAAACAATTTCGGCTGAGTCTAGGGCTTTTGTTCTTGAGCATGTCCTCAAACAGAAATTTTGGACTTTTTGAGCTTTGTATGTAAGTATAACATGTTTATAGGTATGAAATGACTACATGTGTTGTTTGAAATAATTTCAAAATTACAGAAAAGTTGCAAGAATAGTAAAAAGAACTGCTGTATGCTCTTCATCCAGATTCCCCAATTGTTAACATTTTTCCACAGTTGCTTTATTATATTCTTTCTCCATGAGTACATACATGTTATTTTTCTGAACCATTTCAGAGTAAGTTTCAGACATAAAACTTTACTACTTTACCACTAGTTGCTTCAGTGTGTATTTACTAATAACAAGTACATTCTCTAACATAATCGCAGTACAACTATTAAAATCAGGAACATTAATCCAATACTATTATCTAATTTGTAGAATTTATTCAAAATTAGTCAATTATCTCAATTATATCATAGCCAAAAAATGATCTGATCAAAGATCCAAAACCATGCATTGTGTATAATTGTCATATGTCTTTAGTCTCCTTTAATCTGTAACAGTTCCTCAGTCTTTGTCTTTCATGACCTTGCCAGTTTTTAAGAGTGAAGGCCAGTGATTCTGTAAAATATCTCTCCATTTGAGTCTTCCTAATGTTTCTCATGATTGAAATGTGTTTGGGGCAGGGATACTAACTACATACATGATATTATGTCCTTAGTGCATTGCATCAGGAGGCACATGGTGTTGGTTTGTCCTGTTACTGGTAGTATGAATACTGGCGAGTTGGTAGGGTGTTACATGGTGGGTTTAGCCACTATAAAGTTACTATTTTTCCATAGAAATTAATAAGTAATTTGTGGAGAGATAGCCTGAGACTATGTAAATATCCTGTTTCTCAACAAAATTTCACTCATTAGTGTTAGCAACCATCTGTTTATTCTTATCTGAATCAATTTTCAATGTGATGGCTGTAAAATCATGATTTTTTAACTATTATACTTTCTGTATTAAATATTTGGTATTCTACTGTAAGGACGAGCTTTCCCTTTTCACCCATTTGCTTATTTTTTTATGTCAGTGTGGATTCAAGAGTTTTTATTTTGTATGTTTATAATCTGTTACTCTCATTGTTTATTATGAACTCATATATCTCCAGATTTGACCAGTCCAAACCCCTTCAATTTGGCTTCTGTGTCTTTTTGGTGTGTTTTCCCTATTTTTTGAGCACTTCTTTTTGGCTCAAAAGACTATTGTTCAATATTGTCTTTTTTTTCTTTTTAATAATAGAGTAGTTCCATTTACAAAAGAGGATAGCTAATAATTTTATATATGCAAAAGCATAAAACACATATTCATTAATGGAACACTATACAGTGGTGAGGAAACCCTGGTGGCACAGTGGTTAAGAGTTCGGCTGCTAACCAAAACGTCAGCAGTTTGAATCCACCAGCTGCTCCACCCTATGAAGCAGTTCTGCTCTGTCTTATAGGGTCACTATGAGTCGGAATTGACTCAACAGCAAGGGGTTTACTGTTATACAGGAGTGAAGGAGCCCTGGTGGTGCACTGGTTAAGCACTCCACTGCTAACCAAAAGGTTGACAGTTTGAACCCACCAGCCCCTGTGTAGTGGGGGGGGGGGGGGGGAGAAAGACCTGGCAATCTGCTCCCATAAAAATTACAGCCTAGGAAACCCTATGGGGCAGTTCTACCCTGTCCTATAGGGTTGCTATGAGTCAGAATCGACTCAACAGCACACAACAACAACATACAGTAGTGAGGAGAAATGACCTACAGCTATGTTCATCAGTGTGGCTGAATCTCACAAATATAAGGTTGATTGAAGTATCACATCACAGAATACAAAAGTATAGTGTTAGGTGCCATCGAGTCAGTTCCAACTCATAGCAACCCTATTTACAACAGAACAAAACACTGCCTGGTTCTGTGGCAGCCTCACAATCGTTGCTATGTTTGAGCTCATTGTTGCAGCCACTGCGTCAATCCATCTCATTGAGGGAGGGTCTTCCTTTTTTGCTGACCCTCTACCAACATGATTTCCTTTTCTAGTTAAAATTATATAAAAATCAAACAATAAATATCTTAGAGATACATATGTAGCAAAACTCTAAAGAAAAGTAAGGGTATGCTAAACACAAAATTTAGGGTAGTAACTACTTCTTGGTATGAAAGGAGAATTTGTTCTGAGATGGGCAAAGAAGAGGCTTTCAGCAGTGTTGGTAATGTTCTCTCTCTTAAACCTGGAGGTGGATATGAGTCTTCACTGTATTACTCTTTATATCCCACATACATGTCATATATATTCCTTTATGTGAAATATTTTATAATTTCAGAAAGTACTTGTGATATAATGGATTGCTTTTTGTGTGCCTTTTCTATCCATGGTCTTGTAACTCCCTCTCAGTTATTTGGGGTGGGACTGTCTGATAGGGTAATTGTGGTCCACCAAGGGGATTGGTCAGTTTTGCCATCCCACTGGGCTTGAAATTAGCCACCCAAGAAGCAGGAAAGAGATGAGCCCACCACCACCAAGAAAGGAGAAACCCACAGGAGATGGCGCAGTGGGCCTCCTGGCCCACAGAACAAGAAAGCTGAGTGCCTTTGGACAGAGACTGAGGGTCAGGGAGAAGCCTATGCCTGACCCACAAATTTGGGACTTTCCAGCCT